TAACATGTAAACATTCACAGTGCAGGGAGGAAAAAGTATGTGAGGCCCTAGCTTAATGACTTCTCCCAAAGCTAATTGGAGCCAGGAGTGAGCCAACCTTGATTCCAATCAGTGTGATGATATTGGATGTTTGCTGACAGCTGTCCTGCCCTTAAAAAACACACACCTGTTTTGGGTTTACTGGTTTCAAGAAGCACTGTCTGATGTGAACCATGCCTCGCAGAAAAGAGCTCTCAGAAGACCTACGATCAAGAATTGTTGACTTGCATGAAGCTGGAAAGGGTTACAAAAGTATCTCCAAAATCGTTGATGTTCATGTGTCCACGGTAAGACAGACTGTCTACAAATGGAGAAAGTTTAGCACTGTTGCTACTCTCCCTAGGCATGGTCGTCCTGTAAAAATGACTGCAAGAGCACAGCGCAGAATGCTGCATGAGGTAAAGAAGAATCCCAGAGTGTCAGCTAAAGACCTACAGAAATCTCTGGCGCATGCTAACATTTTTGTTGACACATCTACAATAAGGAAAACATTAAACAAGAATGGAGTACATGGGAGGACACCATGGAGGAAGCCATTGCTGTCCAAAAAGAATATTGCAGCACGTTTGAAGTTTACAAAAGAGCACCTGGATGTTCCACAGCACTACTGGCAAAATATACTGTGGACAGATGAAACCAAGATTGAGTTGTTTGGGAAGAACACACAACACTATGTGTGGAGAAAAAAAGGCACAGCACACCAACATCAAAACCTCATCCCCACTGTAAAACATGGCGGAGGGAGCATCATGGTTTGGGGCTGCTTTGCTGCCTCAGGGCCTGGACGGATTGTTGTCATTGATGGGAAAATGAATTCCAGAGTTTATCAAGACATTTTGCAGGAAAACGTACGACCATCTGCACTGTGAATGTTTACATGTTATGTTATGCAATTAAACCATGGCAACATCTAATGTTTGTGTAGTATTATGTTCAGCAGACTGTGTTCTTCTATTGTTGTGACTTAGATGACGTTCAGAGCACATTTTATGCCCAATTCATGCAAAACTCCACGTAATCCCAAGGGGTTCACATACTTTTTCTTGCAACTGTATTTAAAGGTTTCAATCATATTTCCTCTTTCCCTTCTTTCCTCCAGAAATCTCTTGATATTTTTTTATCCTAAACATATGTTTTATCCTAAGAATAAATGGTGAAAGGTCTGGGGGATAAAACATATCAGGAGAGACTTTAGGAATTTAATATGTACAGTCTGGAGGAAAGAAGGGAAAGGCAATACATAATTGCAACCTTTAAATACAGTACATCAAGGGGGTGAGTAAGGTTTGGGTGGGCAATATTTTCCATATGAAACCAAGATCAAGAATACGGGGACATGACCACAAACCCAACAGGAAGAAAGTTCAGAACTAATCTTAGAAAGTATTATTTTACTGAAAGAGTAGTTGATGCTTGGAATAGACTTCCAGCAGAGGTAGTGAGTCATTCAACAGTAAGGGGCATCAAACATGCTTGAGACAGACATACCCTCATCTGCCTCTTTATTCGGTACACATGCTAGTACCAGGTGAGAACCCCTTTTGCCTTCAGAACTGCCTTTATTCTTCATGGCATAGATTCAACAAGGTGTTGGAAACATTCTTCAGAGATTTTGCTCCGTATTGACATGATAGAATCACGCAGTTGCTTCAGATTTGTTGGCTGCGTATCCATGATGCGAATCTCCCATTCCACCACATCCTAAAGGTGCTCTGTTGGATTGAGATCTGGTGACTGTGTTTGCAGTGTTTTTGCCATGTTTTTTCGATTTTTAGTGGAAGACCATTCAGCTCCATGTTGTATACCTGTGTGACTCTGGCACAGCTACCCTATAAAATGTGCGGCTGTTGGTGTGCGCCGTGAAGCGGTGGTGCGATGCGTTGTCACATATCACTTTGTTTACCTTATTTTTTTTTTTTCTTTTTTTTTGTGATACTTCGAATATTTCCGTTTCAATAAGATTTATTGAGTTTTCATGCTGTATTATGTATAGAAGGCCTCTCAAGTCTATTGTTCAACATAGCAATGCAAGTTATTAGTCTGTTTCAGCATTCAGAATGTGCACTGATGGTTCATATAGTTCTATGCACTTCAGCGTGTTGCGGTGTGGTTTGGTGTGCCGCAACACATTACCCTTTGTAAAAATGCATCCTGTTCTTTCCAGTGCACACAAACACAGAACATTGAACAGAACATAATAGGACGTAAGGCAAATTGCCTAGTCTATGCATTGGAACTGCATTAGGCAAAGCAGCCCAATGCATATGGTGTGAATGGGTCCTTAATCTATGTGTCCAATACATTACTATAGACATTGTAGTATTATAAAGCAATGTGCATACTGCATAACAAATTACACACTTAAGCAAACATACCATTCTGAATTAAAATGTATGTCAAGTTAAACATGTTTTTCTAGTTCTGGATAGAGTACAGAAGGGTTTGGAACAACTGTAGGGTTTTTACTGATATCTAGGGCTCTGCTCGGGCTCTTTCACAAAGGTGGCCAGATGGCTGGTAAAAACAGGTGGCAGAGCCATGATTTTACCCCTCTCAACTCCGCTGCTCATCTGAATTCTAACAGTGTAATACAGTCGGACAGGGTGAAAAGAACACCACTCACTTGCAGGTGCTCCTCCTGCTCACTACCGTAGACGATGAACAGGGAAAGAAGATGGCTGCACACCACAGCAGGACATCATTAGCAAAACGTTTATTCCAATAGTATCAATAAGACAAACAGCACAAAGATATATAGGAGATCTGTTGACACTTTTCACACAACAAAGTGCTCACTCATATGTGTAATGAGTTATGAGTAAGCCCTTTTGTAACCCACTGAAATGTTCTTACTTGCAATACATTAAGATGGACATTAGATGATGGTGGCCTGCCATTCAGGGTCACTCACATGGACAGAACAGCCCTCTGGAACTTTTATGCTGAATAGCAGGGCCTAGTGTGCAGGGCAGTCAGGGACTACATTTCCCAGGAAAGGTAGTGTGTGGATGGGGGGCATAAAAATATCAATGCCCAGGAGATTGGCTAGGGGAGTGTGGAGAGAGACTGAAGGAGAAGGAGGTATGCTGACGGCTGAAGTGCTGTACTAGGCCGCTGAGCCTGGGTTGGAGAGAAAGGAAGAACGGAAACAGCAACAAGTACGCAGAAGACATTCTTTAAGAGACAGTGCTCAATTTAAAATGAGAATTCTCTTTCCTTCACATCTAATCCTTGTCATCTAGCTCTGAGGACCCACAGTGAGCTTGCCTGTTTCTTGATAGTTATTTCTACTCACCGTTGATTCAGCAGTCCCCTCAGATTGGAGGCAGTGGATTATTTCTGAAAGCAGGCCTGTCAACAGTTATTGTTGCTTTATGGTGAATGTCTTTAATTTTGCTCACAATTACCAAGAGTGATTATATTTGCTACATATATCATTGTCATTTTGTTCTTTTTGACCACGTTACCTTTAATTCCAATATAAACTTCATATTGGTCTATACTACCTTGTGTGTGAGTCCATTTTGCAGTTGTGATTTACTTTCGGCATGAGAGCACGGTGCTGTCAGCAGAGGTTGGGCTTTCAACCTGTTTCAGCCGCTATAAATGTCAAAAAACTGTCAAAGAAATAGCGGAGCTCTCTGCAGGGACACTTTTTGCCGGACTGGAATTCTTCTTCTTCTTCATCCTCTTCTTCTTCATCCTCTTCTTCTTCATCCTCTTCCTCTTCATCCTCTTCCTCTTCATCCTCTTCTTCCTATTCCTCTTCTACTTCTTCATCCCCTTCTTCTTCTTCTTTTTGTTCTTCTTCTTCTTCATCCTCTTCTTCTTCTTCATCCTCATCCTCTTCATCTTCTTCTTCTTCATCCTCCTCTTCTTCTTCTTCCTCTTCTTCTTCTTCTTCATCCTCTTCTTCTTCTTCATCCTCTTCTTCTTCTTCATCCTCTTCTTCTTCTTCCTCTTCATCTTCTTCTTCCTCTTCATCTTCTTCTTCATCCTCTTCTACTTATTTTTCTTCTTCTTTTTGTCTTCCTCTTGCAGGTCACTGCTCATGCGCAGATTTCTTATCGGTAAAAAAGATTGGCCGATTTGCCCATCATTGCCGTGAAAATCGACCGATTTTTTTTTCAGACTTTACCGATAAAAAAAATCTGCCAAAATACCGAAAAAACGGCCGACCTATTAACCCACTAATGATCCGAAAATCGCCCGATTTTATTTTCGGCCAAAAAATCGGCCGATTTCGACCCATCTATGGCCTGCATAAGTCACTGTACTGTTGATGAACTGCCAATACTGATTTTTTGCTGTACCATGCTTGCACTGTTTATTTTATTTTTTTTCATATGAGAAGGCAATTAACAATAAAGGTGGCTGCAACAATTGGCTAATACGATGATATTAAAATAACAGAATTCTTGTAATCAGTGCTCTATTTTATCTGGTGTGTTAAACTAAATATGTCTTTGTGGTTTAAATAGTGCAAAAAGCTTTTGCGGTTTCTCAGGTATGGTTTTTAAATAGCATGTTACGCATAATTGCACTCATTCATCACTACACAAATTTGGAAATACCCTTTTTATGAATTTCCCTTTGTTCTGCATAGGTACCCCCTTAGAGAAAGGTGTTTTTTCTAGTACGTCACAAAGTCTATCAAGTTTAGTCATTGCGCAGTTGACAGAAGCAGAAGGGTTGTTGTGTTCATGCAAGCAAAGATGCTTATTGATAACTATTGTTTGAGATGAGGGCTTGGCATTTATTTAATGTTTTATTTAGGTGGAGCAGTTTTGTTCTTTAGTTCTTAAAGGACCTTATCTGGTGTGACCCACTGTTTAGTATTTATAGTACTACATTTATAGTACCACAATAGTACCACAAACCATTTCCATTAAGACTATGGCCTGGTGACCAGTGTAACCTAGACATAAAGCCATTAGATATCCAACATAATAGAACGAGGTGGTGGCAGGGGCAAACTGACCATTTGGAAACTCGGGCACTGCCCGAGGGCTCGGGGTCAGTAGGGGGCCCCATGAGATACCCCTGGTACCTTTTTCATAGGCTTTTTTGAGTTTGGGCAAGGATACAGAGGCCCCATGATTCCCTATTGCCCGCGGGCCCCATGAGTTGTCAGTCCACCCCTGGGTGGTGGTAAGTCTTTTAATGTTCCAGTGATAATGGGCTAAGAGGGAATTTTCTCTAACTTTGTAGAGATTTTCCCTCTTTTGTATTGCCAAGACTGGAAGTATGTGGAAATCTCTCCAATGGGACATAAGCAGTGAAAAATATGCTGACAGGGTTGTTAACCCTTCCTCTCAAAAATATATATTTTTTCCATTACATACACTTTAACATTAGTTAAAATGTATGCAAAACCTAACAATGAACTTCTCTCCCTTTCTTCCTTTTGGTCTATTCAATTTACAGTATCACAGAAAGTGCTGTGTTATATTTGTTTGACAAGTGCATAAAAATACTTTTGTTTCTGGCAGAAATCCATAATTTTATATAGTGAGCTTGTAGGCAGGTTGAAGCTTGCTCTAGTTACGTGCTGCCCCAGAAGAGAGAGTAGTGGTTAATGCCTTTCCTGGTTCTTTAGATTTTGGTGGGTTATCCAGGGGTGGACTGACAACTCGTGGGGCCCCCGGGCAATAGGGATCATGGGGCACCTGTGTCCTTGCCCAGACTCAAAAAAGCCTATGAAAAAAGGTACCAGGGGCATCTCATGGGGCCCCCTACTGACCCCAGGCCCTCGGGCAGTGCCCGAGTTTCCAAATGGTCAGTCCGCCCCTGGGGTTATCTCTAAGTCCATACCACTGAGCCTGTGATATAAAGGAGGGATAGTGGCTTGAAACAGAGATTCCCCGAGGAGAGCATCGGGAAGCTGCACCCAGGAGTTGAACAAGAATGCTGCCTGCTGCTGCTATGATGTACAAGGTCCTCTGTACTGAGGACACCAGCTGCTGGGGAGTGCCTGATGGACCTTTTAAGGATGTGGACTCTACCTTTTGCAGGTATACCAGGGCAGCACATAGAGTAGGATTAGAAATTAAGGATTTAGGAAAATACTGTGTTATGTTGGACTGTGCACTGTCTACACTTTATTCAGTAAAGCTTTGAAACTGCCTTTTGCTTGGTTTGAAGTTACTCATAGGGCTGCAATGCAAGTAACCAGCACAACTTTGCACTTAGTCTGCAGGTTGAGTCACTGGCACATTGGGTATGAAGAGTCAGCATGTTAAAAGTAATTCTAGTGCAAGGTATACATGTGGTTGCCATGAGCAATGAAGGTACAGTCAGCAAGCAGCCTGTCGTAAATGTGTACCTGTTATAGGTGGAATTGCCTCTATTCACAAAGGAAATGTTGTTGGCACTCCCTACGCCGCATTCTCCCATTGCAACCGGATCAGAACTGCAGTGCAGAGGTCCACATCTTATACAGAGGTGCAAGTGTTCAAGAGTTAAAGTCAAATGCACATTGGAGCCTGCGCTATATGCATGGTGGGGTTGTATGCTTATTCCAGGCAGCACAGTGGCTCAATGGTTAGCACTTCCACCTTGCAGTACTAGGGTTGCTGGTTTGAATCCCAACCATGGTACCACCTGCCTGGAGTTTGCATGTTCTCCCTGTGCCTGCGTGGGTTTCCTCTGGGTACACTGGTTTCCTCCCACATGCCAAAGACATGCTGGTAGGTGAATTGGCTCCGGTCTAAATTGGCCTAGTATGTGTATGTATGAATGTGAGTTAGGGACCTTAGATTGTATGCCCCTTGGGTTAGGGACTGATGTGAATGTACAATATATATGTAAAGTGCTGCATAAATTGATGGTACTATATAAGTACCTGAAATAAATAAACACCAGGATTGGTAGTGGGAAATGCCTCCCCATGTGTAGGAAAGTGACCCTGTCTCAGGTGCCTAGTGTAGCCCAGAAGAATCCATCGCGGGGGTGGTCCTCTTATGTGACCCAGATTTGGCACTCAACAAGTTAATTTGAAACATGGTGGAAGGTCCACCACCACTCTCCTATACCCCACCTACCCCCACAAGCTGACAACACAGTGGGGTTAATTTACTAAAACTGGAGAGTACAAATCTGTTGCAGCTCTGCATGGTAGCCAATCAGCCTCTCATTTCGGCCTTAATTAGGCTTTGACAATAAAACCAGATTGATTTTTATGCAGAGCTGCACCAGATTTCCCACTCTCCAGTGTTAGTACATTAACCCCAGTAACTCTTCTACACTGAAATCTCAAGAAGTCTTATTAATGTGCCCAGGTAACCTCTGTCAACTACAGAAACACCCCCCCCCCAACATTACGGAGATGGGGAAAGGGGGAAGGGCCCTGTAAATGCAAATTAGAATCGGGCAGATAAAGGTGACAACACTGCTGTTCCATAGATAAAATATAGGGAATAAGCATTATCACCTAAGGACAGGAAACGTGTCACTAGCAGAATCACCTTCTTTAAGTAAAGGGAAAAAAAAATGGAAAAGAAGCATTCAGTCATCACATCTTATGCATAATGCAGCCATCACATCGAAAGACTGTTGAGCTGCAAAATATTACATTTTTTTCTACACTAAATTATTAAAGCGGAGCTCCACCCAAAAGGGGAAGTTCCACTTTAAGCCTTTGTCCCCCACTCCCATTAAGGATTGGCACCTTTGGGGAGTGGGTAGCCGAATTTGACAGGTACCCACTCCCACTTCTGCTGCGATCGCCTAGGCGATCGGAAGCAGAAGATGTCCCTCCCCCCTCCCTCCCTGTAGTCTCCTGGGACACGTGACAGTTCCCAGAAGACTATGGGCCATTCACAAAGTGCAGCGCTTCTTGCGCATGCGCAGTGGGAACCTTACTGTGAAGCCGCAGGCTGTCGCAACCAGGTGCCCACACTGAAGATGCCAGCGCCAGGGAGAAAAGCCACTGAAACAGCCATGGTGAGAACACCGCTGGACAGAGGGACAGGTAAATGTCTGTATTTTAAAAGTCAGCAGCTATAGTTTTTGTAGCTGCTGACTTTTTTTTTTTTCAGGTGGAACTCCACTTTAAGGTTTATGTATGCAGGTTTCATGGAAAACAGAAGAAAAGTGAAACGCAATGCGCTTTTCAAAGAAATGGCTTGCTTTTGTATTGATGCGTCTTTAATCCCTCACAGGTGAATGCAGGCAGGGCTGTGGATAAGGGGGTACCACCAGCCCTCCTGTACAGGGCCCCAGGCCATCAGGGGGGGGCCAGGCACTGTATGGCATCCTCTGCAGCAGCTGAAAGCTGACTTCTCCACACCGCTTGCTGGTTTTAAGCTGCTGCAGAGAGAGCCATACAGGGGATTGGTTCCAGTAATTGCCCCCCCCCCCCCTCCCGCCGCCCCCATCATCCTCCCTGTGCACCATACATTTCCCCCTGCTGCCAGGCCCCGTGTGCACCCCCACCGCCCCAATGCTACTGGCTTCTCTCTTCTCTCCTACCCAGTGGCAGCTGCAAGCACACAATAGGATCCATCAGGATGGAGAGTGGGGGAAGGGTCCAGTAAATATGTCACATTTATTAGCCCATTCCTTTTCTAAGCAGGGGCGGACTGACAACTCATGGGGCCCCTGGGCAATAGGGAATCATGGGGGCCCCTGTGTCCTTGCCCAAACTCAAAAAAAGCCTATGAAAAAGGTACCAGGGGCATCTCATGGGGCCCCCTACTGACCCTGGGCCCCCGGGCAGTGCCCGAGTTTCCAAATGGTCAGTCCGCCCCCTGTTTCTAAGTGAACACAATGAGTTCTTTTGGGGTGGATGGGTGTCAGGTTGGCTGTAAAAGGCCCCATGGTCTTCTAATAGCAGCCCTGAGTGCAAGCATAAATATGGCCTCACAGGAGTGCTCTTTATCTGTGGGGCCTCATATATGCTGAGAACATGTTGCACAGTATGCTCCCAGAGCAGAGATTGAGCTGTTACTAAAGACCTCCAAGTCTAGTACTAATGATCAGTAACCAGGAGGCCCTGTTTCTGATCATTTGTGATAGACCAGGGGTGGGCAAACTTTTTGACTTGAGGGCCGCAATGGTTCATATATTGGACCGGGGGCCGGACCAAGAGTAGATGAATGATGTGTATGTGTCATCCATAGTAAGTATAGTAATATTCCCCCATAGTAAGCATAGTAATTAATCCCCCATAGTAATTAATCCCCCATATAGGGTAGTAATTAATCCCCCATATAGTAATTCATCCCCCATAGTAATTCATCCCCCATATAGTAATTCATCCCCATAGTAATTCATCCCCCATATGTAATTCGTCCCCATATAGTAATTCGTCCCCCATATAGTAATTCGTCCCCCATAGTAATTCATCCCCCCCTATAGTAATTCATCCCCCATAGTAATTCATCCCCCATAGTAATTCATCCCCATATAGTAATTCATCCCCCACATAGTAATTCATCCCCCCATATAGTAATTCATCCCCCATATAGTAAGTCCCCCATATAGTAATTTCATTCCCCATATAGTAAGTCCTCCATATAGTAATTCATTCCCCATATAGTAAGTCCCCCATATAGTAATTCATTCCCCATATAGTAAGTCCTCCATATAGTAATTCATTCCCCATATAGTAAGTCCTCCATATAGTAATTCATTCCCCATATAGTAAGTCCTCCATATAGTAATTCATTCCCCATATAGTAAGTCCCCCATATAGTAATTCATCCCCCATATAGTAAGTCCCCCCCGTGTCAATTCACTTACCTTTGGTCCGCGCGTTCCTCTCGTATTCCCGCGCCGTTCTGGTCTTCAGGGAGGACTGTGAGAGGAGTTCGTCACGCTGCCCCGCCTACATCCTGACAGCTGCAGAGTCTGACGTCCGAGAGGAGGGAGGGGGGCGGCCATCCGAGAGGGGGGGCGGCCATCCGAGAGGAGAGGAGGGGAGGGAGAGGAGGAGAGGAGGGAGGGGAGAGGAGGAGAGGAGGGAGGGGAGCGGGGCCCGGCACACAGGAGCCGCATCTAAATTTGTAAAGAGACGCGCGGCTTGCCGACCACATGGCCTTGCGGGAGCCTAGCTCCGCGGGCCGGATTAAAAGGTCCCGCAGGCCGTATACGGCCCGCGGGCCGTAGTTTGCCCATTTGCTGTGATAGACTCTGATTGGCTATCACAATTATCAGTCACTGTACAGCCCACCCATTTGT